GAGAGAGAAAAAGGAAAGAAACGTCGCGATGCGTCGTGGACTGACCCAAGCACCGTGCGATTCGTCACGCGACTTGAACGGCGAGCGACGGTCGAGCGTGACAGGAAGGAAAATCACGAGGTGAGCGTGGTGGCACGAGCGACAACGTACGCCATCCGCTCGTGTCGGCAGCCGGGCGTGCACTGCCTTCCCGAGTCGTCGGTTGGTTCTCCATCCTCAACTCCGGCTGGCTGCTTGGCCGGCTTGCTGGCTGGCTGGTTGACTCGCTCGTTCGTTCTTTCGCTCGCTCGCTCGCTCGCTCGCTCACGGCCTCCGCGCGTCGACCGGAGCCGCCGCTCGCCCGTATCGCGCCGGCTGCGATGACGATTCGTCGATGCGGTTACCCTTATGACAGCAATGGGCTGCCGCGAACAAAAGAATCCAACACGGGCGATCGATTGGAAAAAGCGGGACTTGCGATCGGCTTTTTCTCAAGAGCGTGGGAGATAATGAATGCTTAATTTTTCTCGGGCGAGACGAATACTCGGATTCGACTGCAACGTTTCGCGTTAGCTACTTTTTTTTTTCGAACATATGGATGATAAAAATTGACAGGACGCACTTGTCCAATTTTTCGCAAGTGTAGAACAAAATATGGAGCGACATTGTACACGTACACATATGTGCAAATTGTATTTATATCTTATCTGTGAGAAATAAAATAATTTGATAACAATATACGATAAACCATCTCGTATCTCGTATCGTATTTTCATGTTTTTATTAATATAGGTCTCTCTCTCTCTCTCTCTCTCTCTCTCTCTCTCTCTCTCTCTATCTATCTCCCCTTCTCTCTCGATTTGCGGCACTGCACGATTCTCTCGCAACTTAAACTGCCACTTACGAGCTTTCGCAATGTCCCGTTTCGGATACGGTAAACAACTAAAATCGAGCAACGACGTCAACGAACGGTAATGTTAATCCAAGATTGAAATTATGTCGTGCGCGATTTACACGTCGTTCCGCGCCGAATATGGAATTCTTTTGGTCGATAACATAAAAGTGAGGAGAAAACGAGACGTGTCCCTCGAAGGTCTCCTTAACTCTTTTAAGGAGCGAATAAAAATTACTGATTTCGTGACTAGCGGCTACTGTGAATGGGATCGATTTGAAAGTGATTGTATAAATTGATTTTTAAGCCTGTTATTCTCTCCTGACGAAAAGCACAGCGGGTGTTGTTTTCGCCTAACGTGGATTTAGACGCATTGCGGCATCCTTACGCGGGAACATTACGTTACTCCCTCTGGTATCGCTGTTCCGTTTCAGCGACTAACGCAAACTTATCGAATAAGAAGAAGAATCGAGGAAGAAGTGAATTTTCCAATTGACATCGCTTCACGTGAATAGTTAAATATCGTAGCAACTTCCTGTCCGTTTTTTCTCTGTTAATAATTTACGGGAAACTGGCCGATCGATGTGATGGCGTGAACATTCGTCGCTCAATTTTCCATTTTTGTTGCTAAACTACTCTAAAGCTACATATTGCACAATAAGAAAACAGATGCATTTTTAATCGGCGAGCGAAATAATCAATTCATATATTAATTCGATCGATTCTCTCCGTCTCTAACTATAACGTAGAGATAAAAGTATAAAGAAAGCTCCGACTTTAATTCGACGTTGATACAAACGTCGTCGATACTTGTTCCGAGTGTGATACATATCATTGGTGCGGGCGATTATTCAAACAACGCGAGGTTGAAGTGCAAAGAGAATCGAGAGAATCGCCGATTGCGGGACAGAGAATCTGCCGATGAATGGCCGGAGGCCGCGGATGTGGGTGTTGCTATTCGAGTACTTCAAAGCGGGATCAATCCGGCGCTTTTTGTACGATATATGTGTATATGTTTGTATGAGCGTGTATGTGTGTATGTGACCGAGATGTAGACGAATCAATGGCCACGCCTTTGAGAACCGGCGCCGTTCGCCAGTCGAAGACAAAGACGCCTACGTGCGAATTGTATCTCCCTCTCAAGATCCGAAAAATCCTCTCTAGGGAACTATCTCCGGATAATTGCCGTCCCGAGAAACTAGAAGTATGACTGACTCGCGCCGTGCTCTCTGTTCCTCTCGCGCGAGATACGCATTGTTAGTCATCAGGCGGCCTGAATTTTTTACTACTTATGTAAAGATGCATCGGACGATTCTCTCAACAGCTCATCTCGATTCGCGATGTTGCTGAGTCGTCGTTTTACATTACGGGCGTGTTCGCGTCATTTCACCTGCACGCTCAACTATTATTCCGTGGTAATTTTGTCTGGCATACTGTAATTGAAAGATATGCGTATCGTAAACAGATAGATAACGGGTGCGTCACAGAGAGCTCTGAAAATGCGACATGCAAGTACGTCGCGAAATCGACAAGCGTGAAGACTCGGTCCGAGGGCTTGGGACGCGCCACCAAACGGGAAACTGAGGTTCCAATCTTGCGAAACAACGTTCCCGCGCACAGCATGGATCCATTTAGACGCGTGAGAATGGCCATAAACCAGCGGTTGTCGTGCGAAGCGCGGCATTATGCACGAGATGATCGCCCGGAGTGATGCATTCGCATGTGCAATCGTGACACACCGACTGGTGGGTGGACCGAATATAACAGATAAGTGAGCGAATTTTTGCACCATCATCGTCGCGAATTCCGCCTGGTTGTTCGCGCGTGATGAGACGGACGCTTCGCGCGAGAGCGTGTCGACCGGCGCTGATATTACCGTAACCGTGCGACTAGCGGATTACGTGCCAACGCTAAACGATTCGGTAACGACTCACGAGGATTTTAAGAGCTCCCCCACTCTGATATGCTCGTGTACTCGTGATTTCCTCGTGATCGAAACGTGGAATTTCCTTCGAGCATCGAATCGATACGTCATGTTGTGTGAACGAATATGTGTAATTACTACATGTCATTAGTATATGATTTTGTGTCTTCTCCTTGTGTCTCCGTCAATATTCCGTCATGATAGTACATAAACACGTGAATATTTTATCAATTGGCCGTAGTTGTGCAAGATTGAGCCACATGGAGTATATTTCGAAAAAAAAACAAAATTGAAAATTTGATACACAATTTAAAAAGTATAGATAGCTCTTCGCAATCGTTCAAAGAGTCAAACATGTCCAATTTTTTCCTCTTTAAGGATATTCACTAACAAACTTAATCCTTAAAAAGACGCAAATAGAAAAAAATGCATCTAGTAGAAAATAAAAACTTCAGACGTCCATAAGGTTTGGGTCTTTTTTGTTTTATGTAGAAAGACGTATGGACTATCTGTTGGTAAGCAAAAAACGAAAAACAAAACCTCAAAAAATCGTAATTTTGTGAATTGGATCATTCTTATATAGCTATAGCCAATTGTTACATCGTCATGGAAAATTATGTAATACATTTAGTCCGCCATTAGTTTCTATTAATTATTTAAATACTCAACTGAAATTTAAATTACTAAAAATATGCTAAATAAATGCAATTCACGATGCGCATATTCATTAGTTGATTTCGTTGACTCCCTATTGACTATAAACATGAAGAAAAAAAGTTTGGTTGAATTAATGTGACCAACAAATCAAATACGTTTTGATTGAAGAAAACAGAATTTCTAATTCCTGTGAATCAAATGAGATTTTAAGAATCAGAAATTCTGTTTTTCTCAACCAAACAGGCGTTCGGCTCCTTTATGAATGTTAATTTAATCAAACTTTCTTTCCTCGTAGATTTAATTTGTTATGTATAATTATCTTATGTGCAAATTAATTAGACGAGACAACATTATAATGTCAACTTACATTATTCGGCACAATAATCAACGTGTTAATTTATGAAAAAAGATTAATGAAAGTCACTTTGCATATATGCTGCTATTTATATAATTGTAAATTTTATCAAAAATATTTATTTTTTTATGAATTTGCTAAAAAAATATGTAAAAAATGATAATGATCGCTAAATGTATACATTTTTGATGTTATACCATATGTTAATATATTAACATGGTTAATATATTAACATAGCAATTATATAAACAATTACGAGCATTCGGATATATTTTAAAAAATACTAGTTATTCTAGAATAGTATACGAGAAAACATCCATTCTTCGAAGAGTATATTAGAATAAGGAAGGCGAATTATCACTATGCTGCCATCTAATGGTTAAATATGTACAATTTCCATCCTCTCACATACGTAGATAAGTATGAGGAAAGACAAATCTCTGTACTATAGTTACCGACAAAACAGTCAGTTGTATCGTAATCGATAATTAAGAATTATTATCGCTATCTTATCGTATACTATATCCATAAAGACGAATATCATTAATTAAACTTTTGATTAATCTTTTAAGTTATTCAAATTAAATAAAAAAAATAACGTTTGCGTAAGTATTCAGTAAATGCAGTAACAGTAATATGCACAATATTTTATATCATATATTTTTGGTTGTATACTTTTGAAAGGATTTTCTCTCAAATAAATCTGATATCTTGTTTTATATAATTGAAATTACTACGTTTTTCTTACTTACTTACATTAAAAAAAAGTGCGGTATACTAAGTATATTCTAAGATCTGCTTTCTTCTAAAAGTAAAGAAAACGTAATGTCTATACTAAGCACAGTAATTAAGCGATTTATCAATTCTTGTTATATCATTACACGACATATTCATAATGCACGTATTAATATAACAAATTTCAACCGTATAAATTATATTATTCAATACAATGTGATGCAAAATATCACGCTTTTATTATTATATCATAGATATCGAGCATAAGAACTTCGTAGAATAAAATGTTAGCTTTGAATATGAAAAGATCTAAAACAAGATCAATCTAAAACAAAACTATAACTTCATATAACTACTAATTAAGGTAAGGAGAAAATTGCGCGCATAGCATTACTGTTTTAACGAATACAATATATTATTATCGACAACAATATACAATCGAAAACAATATACAAACTTTAGCCATATATTTTTAATATTAATCTCTCATTAAGCTTAATTAAGCTTATAACAAACTACGAAAAATTTTATTTGAAGAACGATATTATAAAAGTTACAATATTTACGATGACCCATATTAACAAAATTGGGCTAGTGGTTAACAAAGTATAATGAGCGATCTTTAATCTGAAACAAGCAAGTTATAATATATATGTTTCACGGAGCAAAGAATGAAGGAAACGCATTGTAAGAGTAATACTCACTTCTTCAATTTTGCAGCTCCTTCTTTTAAATTATCCATCGGGTCTTTAGCAATGTATATGCGAAGACCGACCATCAAGTTTTTAAAATATTCTTTCCAAGATAGATCTAGTATATTGAAGTCGAAAATCTCACGATCAGTTTGATTTAAACTATCCCAGAGTCTTATGACAGAGTCATTGCGAAATTGCCATTGGCGCGTTGAGAAGTATGATATCACATCGCAAAATATATGTATTTTTTTATAAGTTTTCAGCAGCCTAAAAGTTGTCAATTTTATTACTTACGGCTAAGAAATCTTACTTACAATGAGAACTCTAGAATATACAAAATAAATATCTCTGGTAATTCACGTTAACTATTCTCTTACTTTTCCTTGGGAAAAGAATTTTCTTTATTTTGGAAACAATTTTTTAAAAACCTTTATCTTTTTATAGGTTTTAAAATTTTATAGGTCTCGAAACTAGCGCTATTTGTCAAAACCTTCCTCTATTTTAGCTCTTATATTATTAATAACGGACCATATATTTTTTAATTTCGAAGGAATTTAATAATTTTCTTACATAGGTTTTCGACCCATGAGGAAAGCCAGAATGTCAAATATAGCACCGGGTATTGTATGCAGAAATATCACATATATCTCATGCATAAATCGGTATCTATTTAGCGTGAGCATGTAATACCAGATGTACTTCGTACTCGGTAAACGCTTGCCGTATTTCTCACTTAATTTCATGAACCTTTCCCAAGTAATAGGATTTTGAGTTGACGACACGCAATTGTAAATCGGAATTCTCTCGGTTTCCGGAACGTTCAAATTTTTGTTGTCAATGCTGAGTAAAGTATCCCTAATGAGAAAAGCATATTTAAAACAAAAAAAGTATCCACTCTAAAAAAAGACATGTAAGAGATTTAATTGTTGCTGCTTTTCCGCGATGCTGATTGATTCTCTTGCTTAGCTCACTTCGTGTGGATTGTGGCTTGCGCCTTCGTGTCGTTTGCGCCTATCAAATTATCAGGCAAATAACTATCATTGCGTTGGTTAGCTCATGAAGAAAAGAATACAGAAAAGTTATAAATTATGAGAACAGAAAAATAGAGAATAGAGGAAAAAGAGGAAAACGAAAAGACAGACAAAGAGAGAAGCATATTATTTAGGCAAAAATAAGGGTAAGAATAAGGTAATTTTATAAAGTAATTTAAAAGGTCATTGTAATGATAAAGATGCTAAATAACGCGCACGTAGCTCGCACCTGTAATGTTCTAATAAGATACTTTAAACGAAAAAAAGTATAAGATATTAAAAACGAAAAAATGTATAAGATATTAAAAACGAAAAAAGTATAAGATATACGACAAAACTCCATTCTCCCAAATGTCAACTTACTTTCTTTTGGCGGTGCCCAACCTGCAACGATAATGTTCGCTATCACGTAATCAGCGGGCATAATTTCCGCTGTATTTTCGGGTATGCAATGTAAAGTACGTAGCAAACCCATAGAACTGCCTACAATTACGCCTACTGCACCATATATGTTGTTGATCCATCCAGGTATTGGTTCTTTCGCCGTTGATGTTACAATCGAAGGACGTATGATGCAAGCTGATAACCCGACGCTGTATTGTCGCACTGTATCCTCGGCAATCGCCTTGGTGTACACGTAAATATTCGGCCATTCGCCTACTAGTCTGCGCTCGTCCGATGCAAAAAGAATAAATATTTCATGAGAATTCTTTTCGCGCACCTATGATATCGAATAAACAATGGTCGAAGAATGTGCCGTTTGAACTTCTCGAAAGAGCACTTACGTTGGCGTTATTTTGTTCAACATCTCATCGTCCAGAACGTTGAGTAACGTCAGTATCTTATCTGTCTCTAAAGGCGGAGAATAATATTTCTCATCGATAAAGTTGTTCACGCACTGAGAAAATGCGGTTGATGTATAAACAAATGCCTAAATAAAAAACAATCAAAAGATCAATGTGAGTTTAATTATG